GCTCCTCTGATGCTGCTTAGCCTGCTGTGTTCATCCAGCTCTACACCTTGTTATCTCACCTAACTATTCTAATCCCAATTTCCAACAGTTGGCCCACAGCTTTGTATGTCTTGGTGTTGCAATTGCACAGCTAATGTTATAAGGGTTTTTGCCTCTATCACCACCACAGGCAGGCACCTTTAGAAAACCATTCCACATTGCAATGCACAGCTAGCTTTTATGCTTAATATTCCTCACAATAAAAGTTGATCGAGAGAGAGGAGGTTTGCAAGTTCTGTTTATCTAAACCACTGGTGGATGTGGAAATCTGTTGCATAATTTTAAAGGGCGCAGGAGTCATTCCCATTTCCTTGGCCATTATCAGTAAACAGCACTTACATTATGTCACTGCTATTTGTGGGAGCTTACTGTGAGCAAATTGACTCTGGTATTTCCTACGTTATGACAGGGCCCTGGTGAGGCCACACCTTGACTATTGTGTGCAGTTTTGGTCTCCTACTCTGAGGAAGGACAATCTTGCTGTTGAGGAAGTCCAGCAAAGGTTCACCAGACTGATTTCCGGGATGGTAGGACTAACATATGAAGAAAGACTGGATTGACTGGGCTTGTACTCACTGGAATTTAGAAGAATGAGGGGGGGATCTCATAGAAACATATAAAATCCTGATGGGACTAGGCAGGCTAGATGTGGGAAGAGTGTTCCCGATGTTGGGGAAGTCCAGAAACAGGGGGTCACAGTCTAAGAATAAGGGGTAAGCCATTCAGGGCTGAGGTGAGGAAGAATTTCTTCACTCAGAGAGCTGTGAATCCGCGGAATTCTCTCCCACAGGAAGCTGTTGGGGCCAGTTTGTTAGATATATTCAAGAGGGAGCTGGATGTAGCCCTTGTGGTTAAAGTGGGAGTGGGATACTGAGATTGCACAATCAATCAGTCACGATCATACTGAATGGCGGTGCAGGCTCGAAGGGCTGAATGGCCTAATCCTGCACCTATTTTGTATGTTTCCACGACAGTGATTACCTGTAAAAAAAAATCAATTGCCTGGCACATATTTTGCCACTTCCTAAGGTCATGAAAAGCAGTCCAGAAATGCCGAGTCTTTTTTTTAAACAGATACTTACAGGTCCACAGTCTAATATTTGCCATTCCTACCTGCCCAAGTTTACATTCTGAGCATGGCTATACATGTGAGGTATCAGATGGCTACCAGTATTGAGGATCCAGTACACCAGAATCGTCCAGTGCATTACCAAAATAATCATAGACACCTTCGAGATCTTTGCTGGGCAAATACAGTGAAATAAGAATGCAAGATGAATTTCAAATAAAGTGAATTTGGTTAAATGGCTTACAATCCCATATTGAAAACTGGAAGAAACATTGCTGGGTTCATGCATAGCATTTGTTAAAAAACACATATTGTAACATACAAATAGGCATTTCCGTATTTCGCAATGCAGCATTCTGATGTATTGATGCATCATTTGGTCTGGACAATATTTGACGTTCTAGAGCAGTGCTTCCCAAACTTTCTCTCCACTGTGACTCCATTACCCTTTTATTTTTTCACACTTCCTTTTCTGCTTCAGAGCTCACAACTCCAAAATCTCAGCTCGCAGCTAGAATTGGGCCCCTGGATCCACACTTTGGGAAGCACCATCCTTGGGTTTTCACTACTGCTGTGTAAGGATTACTGTCACAAAGCCAAGAACCTTGCTCATGTAGACTGCTGCACCCGAGATCATGTCAATAATTCCTATAGGGAGCAAGTTGCCAATAAGTAAGACGAGACAACAAAGGAGCTGAAGTAGGCCATTCAGCCCATCAAGTTTGCTCCACCATTCAATCAGATTGTGGCTGATCTGATCGTCTAATAGCCTTCAACTCTGCGACCAGAATGTCTGCTCCCTTGTAACCCCTTCAGGGAAAAGGGAGAAAATAATCCATCACTCTCTCCTTCAAAATTCCTCATTATAATGCTCTGGTGTATCTTGTTTTAAAAAAACTATACATACAGAAAATCTACAACAAAATTTTATGTGGTCTTGTCAACAGCTCACTTTCCTCAGTGCCCTTTTAAGATTAGCAAGACGTAGATTGAGGCTTTAGGGCATTGGTGAACTTTTAGAGTAGGAGATGCTTATTATTTTTCTCGAAACCAACTGGCAAGCCGACCTTCAGTCACTGAGCAGCTTCTGTAAGTATTCTCATTACCCGTAGCCCCTTAGCCTAGCACCAAACTCCAGTATTGTTCTACGCCCCTGGCAAGCCTTGTGAAACGCATCATGCCCCCACATTTTCAGACCAGTGTTAACATTTTCGTAGCCCTCTGTTACTGCCAATTCCATGCTCAGAAAATTCAAAATTACGGCAGTACTATCCAGTGTTGTTGCAGCTTGCAAGAGGTCGGGCTAGAGCAGTGAAACAGAACAATGTCAATTCTCATAGATCCGGCTTATCACATACTGCAGGGAAAGGGCTATAACTCAATATGCAACACAAGACATCCGCCTGCATTTCAAACCCTTGTTGATTATATGTGTTACAACCATAAAATTATCATTACCTACTCAATGTGTAAGCAGTTCCCACATATTTTGTAAAGGAATTGCTAATATATAAGCATTGTCAGTGATAGTTGGCAGAGAGAAACGGGAGCATACAAATCTGCTGTGAACCTCTATTGATATTTATAATCTGTCAAGCAAAGCATTTACCAAAACTATTTTCTGTGCAAACTGCTGATTTAGATTGACTGTAATTAGTATTTTCTTAAACCACCAATGCAGGATGTTAGAAGTCTGCTGAGGAATCGCCAAGGGTGATTTCTTGACATGACTGGTGCAATTCCCAACCACGGGTATATTGATACGATAGATATATTCATTATGTAGTAATCAGGCTGTTTTATCCAGCCACTGACACTGTCAGAATTGAATGCCAAGATTAATTGATGCCTGAGGTACAGCTTTCAGCTTTAATTATGTCAGATGCAATTGAAATTGAGCTTTCAGTCTGCCACTCACTGCCTTTCTTAACTGTATTAACAGGTCAAAATTTGAGAGAAAGAATATTCTCTGAAGAATCCAGCATCCACAAAGGAGGAGGATCGACTGCAGATTTTTTTATCCAAAGGTTATTTTCATTCTTTGCCTTTCTCGATGATCAGGAATACAGTTTTCACCTAAAGAAACTTGGAAGATTTTCTACAATAAAAATGCAAAGGGGCTGAACCAAAAAAAAAATTCTTAGAGCCTCCAAAGAATGGTTTACAGCGCATGATCGGGAATCAGGGATAATCATGTAATATCCCCTTCAACTGAACCACTGCAGATTACCATCGGTTAAGCCCCAGATACATGAATGGTTCCCTCGATGTGTAGTTTGACGTTACTTTTGACCACATTGCCACAGGATACCGAAAGAAGCCAAACCAAGTCACAACTCTCGGGGAAAACAATCTTTCCCTAGATCCTATCATGTGCTGACCTTTTTTTTCCTCTTTGGGTATGAAGTGAATACTCAAAGGAAGCAAAGTATAACTTCCGCCCACAAGTTAAAGGATTTCAACAAGCACAGCAGGGTTATCTTCTAATGAGCTGACCTGGCCATTGTAAACCTCTTGAGGGTATGTTCCCTGGAAGACTGGGGAACCAGTCAGGTGGTCTGGAATGTAAACCGGGATCAGTTGTGTAAACATCGAGGTGACAGGAAATAACCAGCGTCCTGGAGGGAGCCAACTGGAACATTATTCCGGGTAGAGGGTATACCATCTGGACATGTTGAGCTTACGTCCCAAGATTTTCCTGCTGCAGGCACAAGATTTTCTGGAATGCACTAACTGTGGTAAGATATCTTCTTTCAGTGCTAGTTTAACTACTGGGGATGGCTGGAAACTGCCAATTATGTTAGCTGCATTTTCAGGAAGGGATGGTGGTTTCACTTGAGTTAACCAGTTACTTCCTCTGGAATATTGGTGTGAATCGGTAAGAGACAAGATTAAAAAAAAAATGCCCATTTGATCCTTCCGGCTTGTACAAATATTATGAGCAAACGACAGAGAAAAGAATCACTGATGTGACACAGAGAAGGGAGTTCCAAAAGGGCTTTATATTGACTCGAGCTGGATTCTGTTCCAAGGTGGAAGTGACAAATGCTGACAGGTGCTGTTTTACTTAAATGCTGCTGAGTGCCACTTTGTAAAAAGCATTAGGTTTCTTCAGCCTAGGCTCACACTAGACTTGACTTTAAGTGAACACATAGTAACTTATCTTGGTGCTGTTGGTCTCACCTTCAGGAGTGCAAAGAGCCAGGACGCAAGCAAGACCAGACTCAAAGTAGAAACAACTCCGGTCTGTTTCCTTTCGCTGTAGGGAATCAGTACAAATCACAAGACAATCCACAGCCTGTAGTTCCAATCTGAAGATAAACAACAGTCCTGTTGCTGGTAGAAAACCCATTCCAGGGACAAGGTAGGAGTCTGAGCACAAGGATTTTGAAGAATGGGTAGAGCACAGATGTTAGAAAATTCACTGTTGGTTGAAAATGGCTATTTATAAGGATAATAAAAATAACAAATAACTGCAGATGCTGCAAGTCAGAAACAAAAATGGAAATTTCTGAAAAACTCAGCAGGTCTAGCAGCATCAGTTCTGAAGAAAAGTCACTGGATCCGAAACATTAATTCCAGATATGCTGCCAGTCCCGCTGTTTTTACTTGTAAGGATGTTTAGTTCAAGTTTTTTTTCTTAAGATTTTCAATGTCATTTACCTATCGAAAACCGAAAGAAACTGCGGATGGCGTAAATCAGAAACAAAAACAGGAACAGAAATCGCTGAAGAAGCTCAATGGGTCTGGCAGCATCTGTGGAGAGAAAATCAGAGTTAACATTCTGAGGTTCTGGGGAAGGGTCACTGGACCAGAATGTTAAGTCCGATTTCTCTCCACAGATGCTGCCAGACCTGCTGAGCTTTTCCAGCAATTTCTGGTTTTGTTATTTTCCTATAGCCCAGTTTATAAATTAATTATCTCTCCTCTCCCTCCAGGGTTTAAAGAACTGAACTGCCCAGACAATCAAAAATTTCCTCAAACATGATCAGCAAGATTTGGAGTTTCTTCTTGTGGGCTGACGTCGGAATGTTTCTGGCACTGCTGGCACAGTCGGTCACCGTGGAAACGTGTCCCTCAGTCTGTCGGTGCGACGGTGGGTTTGTGTACTGCAATGACCGAGGATTGACATCCATCCCGACAGGAATTCCACCAGACTCCACCACTCTCTTCCTGCAGAACAATCAGATCAATAATGCTGGGATTCCCAGGGAGCTCCTAAACCTAGTGAAGGTTGAAATCATTTACCTGTACAGCAACAGCCTGGACGAGTTTCCCACCAACGTCCCCAGATACATCAAAGAGCTTCATCTGCAGGAGAACAATATACGAGCAATCTCCTTGGACTCTCTATCCAAAATACCTTACCTGGAAAGGCTGCACTTGGACGATAATTCAGTCTCTGCTGTTAGCATCGAAGAAGGTGCTTTTCGAGAGAACAAGGATCTCAAATTGATCTTCTTGTCTCGGAATCACCTCAGCAGCATACCTGTAGGGCTTCCCAGCACCGTTGAGGAACTGAGGTTGGATGACAACCGCATTGCTACCATCTCGGAGAATGCTCTCGGTCATCTCACAGGGTTGAAGCGTCTGGTGCTCGACGGGAACCTGCTGACCAATCAGGGGCTTCGAGACAAGGTGTTCATGAATCTCGCAAACCTGACGGAGCTGTCGCTGGTGCGGAACATCCTTACCTCGCCCCCAGCTCTACCCGTGGCGAACCTGCAGAAGTTGCACCTCCAGGACAACCATATCAACCAGATCCCCCCCAATGCCTTCTACCACCTCGGGCGATTGCAACGCTTGGACCTGTCGAATAACAATTTAACCCACTTGCCTCAGGGAACCTTCAACCGGCTGAACAACCTGTCCCAGCTGCTACTGCGCAACAATCCCTGGCACTGCGGCTGCAAGATGAAGTGGGTGAGAGACTGGCTACGCTCACTGCCAGTCGGGATCAATGTGCGCGGGCTGATGTGCCAGTCGCCTGAGAAGGTGAGGGGCATGGCCATCAAGGACCTGGTGGTCACCATGTTTGGCTGCAGAGATCCAGAGAGCCCTCTCCTAGGCACGCCGCCCACTACCGCGGGTCCGGTCGGGGTCTCTGCCAGCCAGGGTCCCTGGCCTTCCTTTGTGTCCAAGGGGCAGGGCGGTGGCGGAAAAGGCCATCAGCCCACGGTGCCCCCAGGGAATACAGCCGTCCAAATCGACGTGAAATCTGTGAGCGTGGACACCATTCAAATCACCTGGAAGATATCCCTGCCCATGACCGCACTGAGACTCAGCTGGCTCAAGCTGGGGCACAATCCAGTCCTGGGGTCGATTACAGAAACCATTGTGCACGGTGGGAAAAGCGAGTACTTACTCACCGCCCTGGAGCCAGAGTCGTCGTATCGGATATGTATGGTTCCCATGGAAACCAGCAATGTCTACCTGTCGGATGAGACCCCAGTCTGCACCGAGACACAGACCGCATCACTGAAGATGCACAACCCTACGACGACGCTCAACAGGGAGCAAGAGAAAGAACTCTACAGGGGTGCGAGTCTGCCCTTGGCAGGAATCATAGGCGGGGCGGGGGCTGTGATAGTGGTCGCCCTGCTTGCACTGGTGTGCTGTTACATGCACAGAACTGGAACCCCTTTCTCCAAGAGCTGTACTTACAGCAGGGGGCGGAGAAGGAAGGATGACGATTACGCTGAGGCCGGCACTAAGAAGGATAACTCTATCTTAGAAATTCGGGAGACTGCTTTTCAGATGATCCCGATGAACAGCGACCAAGCAGCAAAGGAAGAGTTTGTAATACACACAATATTCCCACCTAACGGGATGAGTTTGTACAAAAATAGCCACAGTGAAAGCAGCAGTAGCAACAGAAGTTACAGAGACAGTGGAATTCCAGATTCTGATCACTCACACTCCTGATAATTGCAGGGACTACTAACTGAAAGCAACTGCGCAAGTCACTGTTCTCCTCGGAAACACTGGATTTAGGAATACTGGAGGAAAGATGACTGTACATTTGCCATATAATTTATATTTAATGAACTTTGTATCAAAAGTTGCAGAATCCAGGTGAATATTGCTGATTGTGCAGTATGGATGCCAGATCACCAATTGCAATTCTCTATTTTAGTAACTTCTAGTAATTTGTATTTTTTTCTTGATAATCTTAAAAAGATTTAAGAGAGTTTAAATTTCCATGTTCTATTGATGGAAGATTGCTTGTCAACTGTGAAAGTGGGTTTTCTTAACAAGTGTTGAGCATTCGAAGATTTTTTTTTTAGCCTATTTGAGAATCTTGTAGTTCAAGCACAGGTTCTTTTTCCTTTCCCCTTCCCCCCTAGCTACTGAGGGTTGGTGTTCTACAGTTAAATAGTACACTTGGTGAAGACAATTTTAATTCCCAATTGAAGAGGAGACTATGTATATTGTTCATGCCTAAGTGTGTTGCACAGATGTAACTGTAATACCTGAAATATGAAAGCGGACGTCACACATCATTCCAGCTTACAGTCTACATTACCTGCGATTAAGTTTAGACTTTGAGCCACAGATCCCTTCGTTGGCACAGTTTAAAACAAAAAGGTACTTTTTCAAAAAAAAATTAAACCAAAGTGCATTGTTAGCCCTTTGGCCAGTCTTGTATGTGCCTTGACCAAATGTTAATTGTATTCAGCATTTTAAAATTCGGGAACTTACTTTTTTTTTTCTCTCCATACTTGTCAATGAGGAAAAAAAAAATGTGGTCTTTCTGCAGAATAAAACAGAACAAAATCAACCACTGTGTTAACGAGTCCACAATTCCGCAAAAACTTCATTTCTTAGGGGGTGAGTCAAATTGTACTGTAAACACAGGGAATCAGTGTCTCCATTTCAGGGGATGTTCTCAGACCTCTTGTGGGCCTGAACTCTTTGGAGTGGGATGAGGAGTGACCATTCAAAGGTTTTGAGATAAGGATGTTTATGAACAGGACAAGAGTTGTCACTTGTGTACAACATACTCTGCCCATTATAAACTAACAGAAGCTGCATCTCCGGCACAATCACATCAGTTGGATCCCCTCCAGTGCCTTCTCTCATCTTGGACAATTAGCCGGACTTGTCGAGTAATAATTTAACTGACTTGCCTCAGGGAATCTTTGATAACTTGGACTGAACAGTCTGGCACAGCTGCTGTGCCTTAATAATCCCTGGAATTGCAGCTGTAAAATGACACGTTTGTCACCTTTGGTGTAAAGGTGGGATGCTCTGCTCCAAGACCTTGGTTAGGTCGCAACCAGTCAGTAGAAAACAAAATTCTCAAGGAGACGCATCACAATGTCTTTACAAACATACAAAACAGGAGCAGGAGTAGGCCATTCAGCCCTTCAAGCCTGCTCTGCCATTCAAAATCATCAAGGCTGATCACCCAACTCACTCCCCTGTTCCCACTTTCTCCCCATACCCTTTGACTCCTTCTTGAAAACATTCAATGTTTTGACCTCAACCGCTTTCAGTGGCAGAGAATTCCACAAGTAGCGAAATAAAGCATCTTGATGCTCCCGCCAGGAGCTACATCAAGTAATATTTGACAACGAGCTAGCCAAGTCGATATCAGACCCAAAGTTTGGCCAAGGAGGGAGGATGTAAGGTAGTTTTAAGGAAGAAGAGGGAGGTAATAGAGTCCGAGAGATGAAGAGAAAGAGATCCAAAGCATAAGGCATAGTGGAGCAATCAAAATTGGAGATCCTCAAGAAGCCAGAATTACAGGAGTGCAGATATTTAAGAAGATGAGGGGCTAGAGAATGTTACCGGAATACAGAGGGGAGAAGCCACTGAAATTTGAGAGCATGGATGGTAGGACTATTTAACTGGAAGCCAATGTCGGTTAGCAAGCTCAGGGATAACAGGGAATGAAACTTTGAGCACGTGAAGACCCACGCAGCAGAGTTTTGAATGACTTCAGATTTATGAAAACTTGAATGTGGGAGACCGGTCAGGAATGAGTTGGAATAGTTAAGTCTAACGAGTCACAAAGGTATAGATGAGGGTTTCGGGCACACATGTTCTGGAGATCAAGTTGGTCATTTTAGTGATGCTGCAGATAAATGATTGGAATCTAATACTGGAATCTACACAAAGGGTAACACAAAGGTTGTCCACCCTGAAACAAAGTAGAGGGATGGAGTCAGTCACTGAGGAATAAACTCTATAGTTTGCACTGAAAACATTGGTTACTGTCTTTGACTGGAGTAGATCTCTGTACATCCAGGTCCCGGATGTCATTAAATCAATCAAAGATAGGAAGCTTCATGGATACCAGACTAATAAAGAGACCAGCACGAAACAAAATCTTTACAATCAATAAGCACATGGAGGCTGAACTTCACACAAAATGGGATGATGAGGTGAAGAACAGTTGTGATGTTTAATTGCTGAAATGCCTCCTTGAAGGATATTATCAATGAAATATCAACAAAAAAAGTTTTTTTTTTAAAATCAATATTAACTAGTACACATTCCTTCTGAGGCCATGTGCTATCTCTGTATTCTCAAAGAACATGAAAAAATAAGAAAAGGTTTCCCAACTCTTCAGGCAAATTCGACATGCATAGGACTGCTTTATAACATATTGAGCAATAATTAGATTTACTTGTAATTATCTGGAGGGAAATCAGTTTGTGAATGTTCTTTCTCAACCATTTTTCAACAAATGAAAATGTGAGTAAACTTCTATCTGGTCTGATTGGTGCCCTGCACATGTATGAGTTTCAACACCTCTTCATAAATCCCTCCTTTGCTACTATGACTCAAAGACCAATCTCAGCTCCTCTGGTCTCTCCACACAACTGAATTCCCTCATCCCAAACACCACCGTCATTTCAACACAACTCGATGTAATTTGGTGACTTCAATTTCACGTTTCACAAACAAAACCAAGAAACTAATAAGTGTTGGATAAAACGTGGAAGACTTCACTCAGTCAATGCCCTTTAGCTTGTCACAATGTGATCAAACATACAGCATCTCCATTATCCTCACAACCTTTCATTGCGGAAGTTGGAGATTGTATGGAATGACTTAGTTTTATTATGAAAGATGGATACTGATGTTTTCCAGCAATTTGCTGGAGACTTTTGAGGGAAGTTTAGAAATATGGGAGAAGCCACCTATAAGGACAGAATCCTCCACATTTAATGCAACAATTTAAATTGTGAAAAATGAGCAGCACGGACAAGTTGGGTCGAATGGCCTGTTTCCATGCTGTCGACCTCAATGACTATAACCTGTTGCACTGCTTGCTACGTGATAACTAGGTATTGGACAACTGGTTTGCCATGCCGAGTAATGCCATCAGCATGGGTTCAATTCCCACACCAGCTGAGGTTACTGTGAAGGACTCTCCTTCTCAAACTCTCCCCTCACCTCAGGCGTGGTGACTCTCAGGTTAAACCACCACCAGTTATCTCTCTGTCTAATGAGAGAGAGCAGCCCTATGGTCTGGTAGGAATATGGCAACTTTACCTTAAGTGGTACCATAGTGATAATGTAAGCATGGAGTGACAGCAATTAGAGATAATGTTATTGGACTAATAAGCCTGAGGTGCAGGCTAATGTTCTGGGGAGCACAGTAGCTATTGGAATTTGAATTCAGTTTAATAAATCTGGAATTGAAAGCTACTCTTTGCAATGGCGTCCATGAAAACTACCATTGATGTCATAAAAACAAATCTGGTTAACTAATTGACGAACTAACTCTAAGAGAGGAAAGCTACCATCCTTACATATGGCTAACATGTGAATTCTGTGGTTAGCTCTCAAATGGTGTAGCAAGCCATTTAGATTAAGGACAATTAGGGATGGACAACAAATGCTGGGTCGCCTACATCCCATGAAAAAATAAAGAGAAAGAGATAAGCATTATCAAGGATATCCACAAAATGGCACCACTAATTGGATAAAATTTTGGCAGATCAAATCCTCGCGTAGTTCATCAGAATCTTCAAAAACAATTGGGCTGCATCATGGCTCAGTGGTTAGCGCTGCTGTCTCATAGCGCCAGGGGCCCTGATTTAACACCACCCTCGGGCGACTGTCTGAGTGGAGTCTGCGCATTCCCCCCGTGTCTGTGTGGGTTTCCTCCGGGTGCTCCGGTTTCCTCCCACAGTCCAAAAGATGTGCAGCTTAGGTGGATTGGCCATGGGAAATGCAGGGTTACAGGGATAGGATAGGGAGGTGGGTCTGGATGGGATGCTCTTCGGAGGGTCAGTGTAGACTGAATGGGCCGAATAGCCTGCTTCCACACTGTAGGATTCTATTATTAGTTACTGATGAAGTATTACTGCTATGATTGCCACTGCTTCAGCTCCAAAGTGCACCCCAAGCATATTTGAAAGAAAGAAGCAACTGTCCAATTTCCCCTTCCTTCCATTATCAAACAGCACTCTAAGTAAATTCAATTAAAACCACGTCAAACAATCTCCAGCAACACGAGCACTTAGAACCTGATGCTTTTATCTACGAAGGTTCCATCTTAAATTTCTGACTGAAAGGAGCCAGACAAGATTGAAAAGAATAATTACAGCTGATGTTAAGCCCGTTGTGCATTTTCACAATTCCTCGGGAATAATGGGCCTTACTTTACAGATCTGTTATTCAGTAAAGAGGCATGACAGTCTAGCACTTTTAAGAACCAAAAACCCAAAGAACTGCGGATGCTGAACATCAAAAACAATAGCAGAAATTGCTGGAGAAACACAGCAGGTTTGGCAGCATCTGTGGACAGAAAGCAGATTTAACGTGTCCAGTCCTTCTGCCGAACTTTATAAACCACACATTTAATAAATTATTCACAATCTACACCATTTTTCCTGACCCAAAAGGTGATGCAAAGCAGTATACAGTCAGAGAAGTCACTTCTGAATGGTAGTCCCTGTCATAATGAAGAAAACACAGCAGCCAGTTTGCAAATTTCCACAGATGGCAACGTGGTGATGGTGAGATGATCTATTTTCATGACGTGGATTAATTTTGGCCAGGGTACCTGCAATAGCAAACTGCACAGCTTTCTTCCGAAACAGTGCCGTGATTTATTTTGTGTCCACCAGAGGGCGCAGACAGGGCCTCGGTTCAGTGTCTCACTGCTGACAGTACAGCACTCCCTCCATACTGCACTGGAATATCAACTTAGATTGCCTCACTTATGTTTTCAAGTGGGTCTTGAATCCACAACCTTATGACTCAAAAGGCACTAAGCCACAGTTGATACATGACTGATAAAATAGAAGATACTGCTTGAGGTACAGCAGGAGAGTTCCTATAATTCAACGAAGTCATACTCCATATACAAGATGCAAGTTCAAAATGGGCAAAGTCATCAAAATAGACAATTGGGGTGGTGGGGGCAGAGGATTAAAAGCTTATTGTATGTGGCACTTGAGACGTTTCTATTCGTGAATGTAGAACCTAAGGCTTATGCATATCAAGTTACTTCTATTGGAGCTAAGATCAATAGCAGAGAAGATCAAGATGATGCAAAAGTGCATTTTCCTTCATTAAGGTGAATGTAAACAGATGACCTACTTGGAGAAGATGGGGACACAATTGGAAAGTTTCAACTAGAAATTGGATCATTTCCCTCCTGTGAGACTGGATATGCAGAACAGTTTGCATTAAAAAAGAGAGATTATGATTAGAATCTTGTGCTCCCAGAAATGGTAACTGTAGAGTTGGGAAGATCAGTTAACTTGGCCCATGGTCTACTCCCACTCTGCTGCCAGTTGGCCAACCCAGGACCAC